CTAGGAGCCCGGCTGCCCAGTGTGTACGAGGCGGGGGGCGGGGCTAGGCGCGGCCTTGACAACCATTAGAGCGCTTGGGGCTGCGCGGCTCGGGGACTATGTTTCCCAGGGGCCGTCGCGGCGGGCCGGAAGGGGTGGGCCTCCTGCCACTGCGCACGCGCGCCAGTCCGGCTGGTTATATAAGGGAGGCTCCAGCCACATTCGTTCTTTTGCTTCGGAGGCGTTTGTCGTTTGTGGTGGTTCTGTTGGCGATTCTCGGCATGTCTTCCTTCGCTGTTAACCACGTTTGTTTTATGGTGAGTGGGTACTCCACTGTTTTCCCGTCACGAGTTTGGTCCTCTTGTATCCTCGTGGTGCCATCGCCTCCCCTGCTTGGCCTCGTCTTCTCCAGCGTTAGGGCCGTGGGGAGATGAGTTAGCTAGGAAAACTCTTTCCTTCTGCTTGACTCTAAGGAGCCCTTGGCTGGTGTAAATGATGACTTCACTTTTTTCCCCATCAGATCGACAATGCTGATCTTTTTTAACACTTGCCAGTTAATTCTGACACACCAGCTTCAAGATGCCCTTCTTCTCTCCATGTTCTTTCCTGGCCATGGAAAATGGCGACTGACGCCCTTTTGTATTTTAGGTTAACGCAATTGGATTCAGAATGGATGTTGCAAGACGGGCTCACCTCTGGGCTTCTACGGGAACCCCACTTTCTATCTTCGGAGCTCTGGGGTAAGCACGTTTGTCTTAGGATCTAAGACAAACTTTAGGGGTTAGGATTAAATTTAATTGAAGTTAGATTTTTTTGTGTTGGTGCTGGTTGGAACTCAGGGCCTTGAGCATGCCTAACATGTGCTCTGCCACAGAGCTACTTTTCCCAGAGTTTTGTTGAAACTCTTGGGTTCTTATAACAATTTATATATTGAATGGGTTCCTAGGAAGAAACAGTTCTAGAGGTCCAAAGAGCTTTCTTGAGCTTTTCCATTTGTGAAAAACCAAAAGAATTTCTGTTGACCTAGATACTAACTGCAGAGCTTATCCCCACAGTGTCTGGCTATATATTGCTTAGGCTAATAACTCAAACTTCTGGCCTCAAGCTGTCCTTCCAGTCAATGCCTTGTCCTCTCAAGTGGCTGGGATTTCAGGTGTGACTTCTGCTCATTGAATGAGAGGAGATGTGGCAGCAACTTATCTTTTTCATATTCCTCTCGTTAAGAGCTCAAAGAGCAGCTGCAAAACAGGCCTGTAATCCCAGTGGCTCAGGAGGCTGAGGCAGGAGGTTTGCAAGCCTTAGCAACTTAGTGAGACCCTGTTTTAAAATAAAAAAGGGCTGGGGATATGACTGAGTGCCCTTGGGCCCAATCCCTGGTACTCCCTCCCACCAAGAAAAATTCAAAGAGCTGCTTGCTGGCATATATGATGACTGAACTTTTTTCCCCGACAGATCGACAATGTTGATCTAACTTTCCTAAGCCAGTTTCTGTCTGATATGCCTGCTTGAGCACCAACCATCCCCTAATCCCATGCCCATCTGACTGATGGGATTTAATCTTTCTGTGTTTTATCTTAGGTTTGCTACCAGAAACCAGGCTTTGAATGAACAAGGATAAATTCCAGGAGTGTGAAAGGATTGGTAAGTGATGCTGGCATTTCTTCCTCATCTGAACAGTAACTGCTTTTTCCTAGTGTGGAACTGTCTTTTTGACTCAAATTTTACTCATTGAGCCGGTGCAGCTGATGACACAACTTTTTTCCCCATCAGATCGACCCTGTTGATCTAACTAAACCTGTAAGCCAGTTTTATCTGATGCATCGACACAAAATAACTTCTGTTTTTATTTGTTGCTTGCTCAGTTGGTTGGTGTTTTTCCAGCATTCAGATTATTTGTTCACTTCCTGCAGGAGTCCTGGATGCTACTATGCTGACATTAGTCTAATCTGATGTCTTTGCTTCAGTCCATCCTGCAACAGGTGAGGTTTCTGCTTTCCAGCTGTCACACCCCACTTATGACGCAGTACTGATTTGTGTTCAAAGTGGGAGGGGGGAATGAATTTGAAGTTGTGCTTATGAGGGGTGGGTGATGTTGGCCTGTTTACTAGAAGGTCTTAAAGTTGCTGGACATTGTAGTTTCCTTTCCCTGGCAAATACTGCATCTTTTAAAATAAGGAACTTGTCTGGGGTTGTGGTTCAGTGGTAGAGAGCTCACCTAGCACGTGCAAGGTCCTGGGTTTCATCCTCAGAACCACATAAAAATAAATAAATAAAATAAAGGTATTGTGTACAACTACTAAATTAAAAAAAAACAAGGAACTTGTCTCACATGAGTTGGAATTTGTTTGATCATGATTATTTTTGTGGCATTCAATTATAAGCCTTATTTGTGTTTTACAGAAGATCCACTTTTGCCAAATGAGTATTCCTTTACTTGCTTAGAACCTTTAACTAGTGAAAAGAGTAAACAACAGTGACAGCTCCCCTCCTTGAGTATGGTGTTCCTGCTATAGATTACAGATGTCTCCTAGTAATTCATTCCGTAACTTTATTTTTTAGTTGTAGTTAGACACAGTACCTTTATTTTATTTATTTTTATGTGGTGCTGAGGATCTAACACAGTGCCTTGCACATGCAAGGCAAGTGCCCTACCACTGACTGAAAAGCTGTAGAAATTTAGATTGTTGTCACTCATTACCCTAGATTCGAAGTGTTCTGGGATGGCTTCAGGCTTTCATGTGAAGATTTGACATTTAGAGAGGATCCTCAGCCAGGCATGGTAGTATGTGATCACTTATAATTAAAGCTACTTGGAAGACTGACACAAGGCCAGCCTGAGCTACTTACTTAAACCCTCAAGGAGGGATGTGGCTCAAGTGGTATCGTGCTTGCCTAGCATGTATGAGGCACTGGGTTCAATTCTCAGCACCATGTAAAATAGTTTCCCACCTAAAACTAAAGAATAAATATTAAAGGGCTGTGAATGTAACCCATTTGTAAAGGCACTCTTGGGTTCAATCTCCAATGCAGAAAAACTCAATGATCCTTAATAACTGAGAATACTTTGTTACATAGTCTATTATCCATTACACATTGACACATATATGTATTAATTGTACAGTGCATTTATATTTAGGTTGTCACTTGAGAATCAACAAAATTGTTTTGGGGGCAGTAGTAGGGGTTGAACCCTGGGCTTTGACACTTGGTTGGTACACTAGGCTCGACCACAGAGCTACTCCCCATCCCATGTTTGTAGTTTTAGTCAGTCTTGCTAACTTGCTCAGGCTGGTCTTGAACTTGGGCCCTCCTGCATCAGCCTCCTGGGTAGCTGTATACCACTATACCTGGCTAATTCCCCGCTTTCCAAAAGTTTCTCATTGTGGATTTATTTTTTGACTGTTAACCTTTACCCAGAAGGGCTTATATCTGGATTTAGATTAAGTATTTCAATTGTAACCAGTGTGGGAATAATACATGGGCACAAATATTGGCAGTGTAGAAGAGACAGGTTATCTTAGTGGGAGTTAGCCAGCATGTGGAGAACCACATGCTTCCATATTCTCAGATAGAAAGCACTTTTCTGACCAAAATGGAACAGATTATAATGTATTTTCTATTTTCCTTTTAGAAGTTGCTCAG